AAGTAGCATCTAATTTTGATTTTAATTTGGATTTCCCTATTTATTATGTTGATGATTGTTTCCATATTTATTGGCTACTTGGATTTCTTCCTTTGTGAATTACCTGTTTAAATCTCTTCTCCATGTTTCTATTTATTGGGAGTTCTTTATATATTCTATATGTGAGCCCTTTATCAATTACATGTTGAAAATATGTTCTACCACTTAAAGTTTTGCCTTTTCATTCTCTTATACTTTCTAATTTATTTTTTGGAAGACACAGTCTTATAGGAAGAAAATAATCGTATGTATAAATGTATTTATAAGCAGAGGTGGTAACCAAAATATTTAACTATGGATATAGTGGAAGGGTTGATAAACCAGAATAGTGTGCCCCTGTTGAATGTCAGGTCAGTGTATGAGGATATTTTTATAATAATTATTATTATTATTACTGCATTGGTTAGCACAACCAACATTTTATAGGAAGTATTGTGAAATGTCAATCAATAAGGAGTTATTGCATTTGCTGGAGTGTATCCATTTTCTGCATATTAAGATCAATTTAACTTTAGGAGGTGAATGTTGGAATCTGGAAGGATGAAATATCAAAAATATAATTCTGGGAAATTAAATAAATTCTTTAAATGATAATTTATTTACATTTTAAAAGGGATATTTATTTGTGAAACACATAAAAACATGACAAAAAACTTCACTGGCTACTTTACACAATAAAATAAGTGATAATAACATACCTATTTTTGCAAACATAAAGAGGTATATTAATGACCATTGCACAGGTATAACGGTGATAAACAATAAACCACATTTATAAAGGATTGGACAAAAGGAAATGTGTAAGTATATATTACTATGGTTGGTAATTGTGTGCACCCAAATTTTTAACTGTGGTCATCTCATATACTTTGATGAACAACCTAAGTCTTGACAAGTTTGAGCACAAACTATGATGGGTCACTACCACATCCGCAGTTACCTAAAATAATTGAGATCTCGAGAAATTTTATGTTTTACAAATGCAGCTGTACGAAAAGGACATCACTTAATTTACTGAGGAAGTTTCAGCATTTTTTTGTACACATACAATGCTTGCACACAAAGGCAATATTGTGATAATGCACTTCTGTGTAGACAGATTTGCAAAAAATGCATAAAACGAATTAGAACTCTCTGGAAGTCTTTATGTAACTTATAACTCCAGTATACCATAGTAAAATATTTTTTTTAAATGCTGCTAATTTAAAATAGTTGAAAAACAAAAAACAAAAAACAAAAAAAAAAAAAGAAGAAGAAACAAAACCTTTCACATCCCTGTTGGCCATCTGTATGTGTTCTTTTGGGAAATTTCAATTCAGATCCTTTGTACATTTTTAATCAGGTCATTTCTTTTTGGCTACTGATTTATTTCAGTTTCTTGCATATTTTGGATATTAGCACCTTCTCAGATACATGGTTTACAAGTATTTTTTCATCAATCCATAGATTGCTTGTTCACTCTGTTGTTTGTTTTTATACTGTGCACAAAATTTTTAATTTGATGCTCTTGTCTAGTTTTGCTTTTGTTACCTGTGCTTTGGGTTCATAGCCAAAAAATTATTGTGAAGACCAATGTTAAGAAGCATATTCCCTGTGTATTCTTTTAGTAGTTTTACAATTTCAGGTCTTACATTTAAGTATTTAAATCATTTTGAATTGATTTTTGTATGTGGTGTGGGATAAGTGTCTAATTATATTCTTCTGCATATGGATATTCAGAGACTGCCCTTTCCTCATTGTGTATTCTTTCAACCCATGACTGTAGATATATGGATTTATTTCTGGATTTTCTATTCTCTTTGATTGGCTTTTATATCTGTTTTTATGCCAGTACCATACTGGTTTAATTACTGTGGCTTTAAAATATTTTGAAGTCAGGCAATGTGAGGTCTCCATTTTTGTTCATCTTGCACAAGATTGTTTTGGCTATTCAAGGTCTTTGTGGTTCCATATGAATGTTCTTATTATTTCTGTAAAAAATGTTATTGGGTTTGATAGCAACTGAATTGAGTCTGTAGGTCACTTTGGGTAATATGGACATTTAAAAAATACTGAGTTTTCCAATCCATGAACACAAGATTTCTTTCTATATCTTCTTTGTTTTTTTATAGATCTCTTTTCTGTGTCTTCTGTATTTCCTTTATCAATGTTTTATAATTCTCATTGTATGTTCTTTCACCTCTTTGATAAGTTTACTCCTGAGTATCTTATTTTTGTTGCTATTAGCAATGGGATTGTTTTCTTCATTTGCTTTTTTGTATAGTTCATTGTTTATATATAGAAATGTTAACTGATTATTGTCTGTTCCCTTTTTATCCTGCAACTTTATTGAATCCATTTATTAGTTCTAAGAGATTTTTGTGGATTATCTAGGAATGTCTACATATATGTCATCTGCAAGAAGAGATAATTTTCTTTCTTTCCAATTTGAATGCCTTTTATTTATTTTTTCTTATAGCACTATGATGAAAATATATGGTAGAAATGGGCATCCTTGTCTTGTATTGTGTCTTAGAGGCAAAATTTCTCATTTTCTTTCATTGATTATGATATTGGCTGTGGGTTTTTGATTTGATGGTCTTTATTGTGTAAAGTAAATTGAAGTAAATTTGTTTTACACCCATTTGCTTGAGAATTTTAATCATGATGGAAGTTAAACTTTGGCAAATGCTTTTTCTCTGTTGAGATGACTTTTTTTTTTGTAATATGGTATATTACACTGATTTATTTTTGTATGTTGAACCAGGGATAAATCTCACATGGTCATGGTGTATAATTGTTTTAATTTGTTGTTATATTTGTTTTGCTGGTATTTTATTTATGATTTTTGCATTTACGTTCACTAGGGATATTGGCCTATAGTTTTATTTTCTTGTAGTGTCTTTGTATAGTTTGAGTATCAAGTTGATGCTGGCCTCATAAAGTGTGTTTGGAAGTGTTCCCTCTTGTATTTTTTGCAAGAGTTTCTGAGTTGGTAGTAATTCATCTTGGAATGTTTGGTTTAATTCCACCATGAAACCACCTGGTCCTGGGCTTTTCTTTGGGAGGTTTTTTATTACTAATCTAATCTTGTTTTTCTATTCATGTATTTAGCCTTTCTATTTATCTTGATTCAGTTTTGCTAGCTCATATATTTCTAGGAATTTATTCATTTCTTCTAGGTTATCCAATTTGTTGGTATATAACTGTTCATAATAGTCTTTTATGGTCCTTTTATTTTTGAGGCATCTGTTGTAATGTTTTTATTTGCATTTCTGATTTTATTTATTTGACTTCTCTTTTTTACTTATTCTAGCTAATGGTTTTTCAATTTTGTTTATTTAAAAAAATTTTTTTTTTTTTAGACTCCAGCCACCAGGTTTATTTTCATGCTGTAAAGTTCCCTATTGTTCCCATTTTCTGTTATATATGAGATGCAGAGAACCAGAAATTTGCTTGGTGAATAATCAACTGTTTTGTATATCTAAATACCAATGAGATAATAAGCAAGACTTGTAAAGCACTGAAACCAGGGCTAAGAGCAACACAATCCACTATCAAAGGATTTCAGTGCCAGAACTGTGAAGTGTTCTCTATTGGTGCTGGGACAGTCCAGCTGACAATTACTGTCCACTCCAGCACCGAGGGCTGGACACTTGTGATTTCTGTTTGCCTTCCGTGGCATGGAGCCCAGATCTGCTTCATGAGCAAAGTGACTACCGAGGCGGCTTCTCTGATGGAAAGTTGGTTTTAAGTCAGAAATCTGGAGAGATGTCATGGCGGGCAGCAGCCCCAATGGGCCTAGCCCTTTGTAGGGCAGAGTGTCACTGTCTGCTGTGCTAGTGCCCATGCTGCATTGAGTGGGCTTGGCTGCTGTGGTTGGCTTGTCCTTTATTGGTTGGCAGATTGTGTGCAGCTATTACGAGGAGTTTGTTGCTGGGAGTGTACGGGAGAGGGGAGGAAAAAAGGGTATCGGATGTGTCCAATCACTGGAGGATGAAGTGGGTCACTCAGAGTGAATGGTGGTTGGGATAAGAGTTGCCTGTCTTCAGCCAGTGCCTGTCCCATATGTGGGCTGGACTTTGACAGCCTGGCAGCGAGGGTGTTTGTTTATAAAATGCTTGGCCTGCACAGGGCCAGGGAGAGGAACTAGGGAACCCCCAGCATTAAAAAAAAAAAAACAAAACACTTCTCAATGCCAAGGTTGTAACATAACAGCTGCTCGAGGATCTTCACTTTTTTTTTTGTTTGTTTTCCTCGTGGCAAGCCCACGAAAACATTTTTTTTTCGTGCCGCAAAAGCTACACCAGGGTCTGCTCTTGATAAAATAACAGCAAGTTTATGTGATCTTAAATCAAGGCTTGATTCAAGAACTTGTGTGGCACCAGATATCTTTGCTGAAAACATGAAGCTCAGAGAGGACATCCATCATTTGGTCAACTATATTCCCCAGGGTTCAATAGATTTCACTCTTTGAAGGAACGTGGTGGTACTTAGTTAGGTTGGATGAAAAGCACAGAAGAACTTATGCTCGGCGTCCCACTCCAAATGACGACACTTTGGATGAAGGAGTAGGACTTGTGCATTCAAACACAGCAACTGAGCATATTCCAAGCCCTCCCAAGAAAGTGCCAAGACTCCCTGCTACAGCAGCAGAACCTGAAGCAGCTGTCATTAGTAACGGGGAACATTAAGATATTCTGTGAGGTGCAAGACTTCAGGGTGGGGGTGGGTATGGGGTGGGAGTATGGGAACGGTTAGAGGAATGGAATATCTGGGCATAATTTTAAAGGATTACATGTCATGTAAATTTTTATGTGACTGACATGGAGCCTGGATGACTATCGTGTACTTTGGAAAGTCTCTTTGCTCAGTTTGCAGACATGCTTCCTGTTGTGGTCTGGCCAATGCCAAATGTACTCGAATGATGTTAAGGGCTCTGTAAAACTTCATACCTCTTTTCCCTAGGGAAAAAAAAAAAATTTTTTTTTTGATTAAACGTTTAAAATATATTTCTAAACAGAATGGGCCAACTCAGTAACAGTAACTGCTGATCTCCATAGCAGAGTAACCCACAAAGACAGAACTGATTTTTTTTCCCATAATTGGGTGAAAAATATACAACTTGCTTCTGAACCAAAACCACAATTTCTGCAGTTTAAAATGTTTCACTGCTAATATGGTCCTGGTAGAAATTATGTAGTTTTTTTTCTTTTAAAAAAATTTTTTTTAAAATTTCCTAAGACACTAAATGATCAATCTGGAATGTAGATTCTGAGCACAAAGCAGCTCAGTTAACCTAAAAAATAAAGAAAAAATTCCCATCGCCTGTCTCAGTAGGGCCTGAAAGGAGAGATGTAGTGTAGGGAACCCCTGCTTTGGTACGGAGAGTCACGACCCCTTGACCCAGACCAAGACCATGAGTAGCCATAGCTGGTGCTTCTCTCAGGATAAACTCGGATGTAGGAAGTTTCACCCTCATGAGAGCGGAGTTTGGTGTCATCCAGTTTACACAGGGCATATTCCATGTCTTCTTTTCTGAGATACTCAACCATCCCCACTCCATCCTTCTGCACATCGGCATAACAGACATCCCCAGCTTCTCGCATGTGATCCTTCAGGTCCTGCCAGCTGCCTGATGGAGGAAGTCCTGAAACAAGAACTCAGAAATCAGATCTTCTTGTAGGAGGCCCATTCCTCCCACCATGGGGCTACCCACCCTGACCTCCATAAGTCCTGGGGAACTCCACACGAAGCCGACACTGGCCATAATAATAACCATTCCTTCCATAAATTGCATCCTCTGCATCTCAGGGGTCCTCGAGCAGCTGTTTTCTTTGTACATGTTAATTCCTTCTCCACGTATCACAGACCAAGATCATCACCTCAGGTAACCATGCTTCTGCCAGTGGAAGCCATGAGGAGACACTATCAAGACCTGATTTTTGTGTGCTGTCAAAGTAAACCACAAATGCTTGGACAGATTCTGCAATCTCTGCAGTAACAAGAAATTTGTTTGGTACCACACATAGATTGATGTGGCTGAACTACACAGTACACAGTATAAGTAGTAATGACTTATACTGTGCTTCCGCTGGAGCCTTCTTGGGAGGCGGGATTAGGAGGCCAGAAGGAGATCCCTTCCAGGGTGCTAGGCCGAGATGGATCTCCTCAGGGCCCAACAGCTGGCTGCAGAGCTGGAGGTGGAGATGATGGGCGATATGTGCAACAGAATGACCAGTGCCTGCCACCGGAAGTGTGTGCCTCCTCACTACAAGGAAGCAGAGCTGTCCAAGGGCGAATCTGTGTGCCTGGACCAATGTGTGTCTAAGTACCTGGACATCCATGAGCGGATGGGCAAAAAGTTGACAGAGTTGTCTATGCATGATGAAGAGCTGATAAAGACGGTGCAGCAGAGCTCTGGACCCTTGTGAGGTCTCAGTCAGTATACACCCTGGGCTACATCCCACCCCTCCCCACTTGAATAAAAGTGCCCCCTGTTGGGTGTCATCTGTGAAGACTGCCAGGCCTAAGCTCTCGGTAGAGAGTCTTCAAGATCTCAGAGTGGTAGTGCTTTCTCCTGGTGGTGAAGTATTTGTCACACTGGAATGTGACTGCGTGTGTATGTATGTGTGTGTGTGTGTGTGTATGTGTGTGTGTGTGTATATATATATATGTATATTAAAACAACTTTGTTGACACCTACAAAAAAAATAAAAAAAAATCATCAAAAACAACTCTTAGTTTTGATGATTTCTAGTTCTTTATTGTCTATTTATTCCTACTCATATTTATTATTTCCTTCTTTCTGCAAACTATAGGATTATTCTTTTTGTAGTTCCTTGAGGTATAAAGTTAAGATTTTTTTATTTCAGTTATTTCTTCATTTAATGTGAGTATTTATTGTTCTAAGTTTTCCTCTTAGTACTGCTTTTGCTGCATCCCAGAAGTTTTGGTAAAATGTGTATATAAGTTGGTTGGCTTGTGAGCACTGAGAAAATTATGTAAAGATAGACACTAAGTCATTAATTTTGGCTGTTAATCTTGACAGTTCGAACTAGAGGCAGCAGTGTTGGGAAGCAATCTATTAACTTTTCATCATGCATCTCTGAATGTTTGGCTTATTAAAAACAGCACTGTTATCTTCATATTTTTAAAAATGTAATTCCTAATGAAATTACACAAAATTAAATGGATGAAGGGCTATCTTTCTTAACTTCCAAACTCTACATACAAATGAGAAGATTAAAGCTATTTTGGACACTTTATGTAGAGTAGGTTCACATAGATCAAAAATATGTTATCCCAGAAGACTATTGAGAAACAATTTTCAGCCAACATTCACCAAATATCTTTAAAAGCAAGAATGGAATGAAAATCAGGAAATCAAAGATGAGTTACTTATTTCAATACGCCCAATTATCACAGACTTGCTGTGTTCTAACAAATCAACTCTTCCTCTGTTGTACTGTAGGCTCCATTATGGCTGGATTGTCTATTTGGCTACTGCAATGCAAAACTTAGTGCCTGATATATAGAAAACAGTTAATAAATTCTTAGTAAATGAGCTAATTAATAAATATTCATTTTAAGATTGGTGTTTAACTGCCCATTTAAAAAATAGCAGTTAAAGAGTTGATTATTTCATTAATTTCTCTGTTCTGGGATATCTTATAGTTTATTCCAGTTTACAGAACATCTTATCATTACCTCTGCTCAGCCTGTGATCATGTAGCACTATTATTAATTTTTAGTACATCTGTCTCCACAGTAGGACTGTGAGTCACTCAGGGACAAAATCTGATTTCTATTCTTTTTTTCTTTATCCCATTCTTTATCCCATACTGTATTTCAGTAAATACAGTAATTTAAATTTTTTTTTAGATTATTCTTTCTAATAGCATGACTCCGACAATAATTTTACTTCACAAAAACTTAGTTCATTGATTCTACTGTTCACTATTCCTTTGATATTACTTTGATCCCATGCTCATCTTGTTATAATCACTTCAGTTATTCTTTTGCCTACACCTTCAACTTAATTTATCCTGCTTCTCTTTGAAATTCACACATACTCTCTCTACATTTTCCCTATGGGATCCTTTTAATTCATAAGACCTTAAATTCCATGTGTGTGCTGATGACTTGAATATTCATATATCTTGTCTGAATTTTTCTCTGAAATTCAAACTCATATCCAACTGCTTACACTCCATCTCCACTTGATGGCCATGGTCATCTCAAACATAGTTTGTCCAATACTAAAATTATTCTTTATCTTCACTCCACATCTTCTCCTCTTAACAGTGTTCCCCATCTTAGTAAACAGCAATTCCATCCTTCCAGTTACTCAGTTGAATCACGACTTCTTTCTTTCTCTCACGCCTAATTCTAATTCATTGGCCAGTCTGGTTGGAGCTAAAGGCAAAACATATCCATTATCCAAATTCTTCTCCTTATTTATATTCTATAATCTTGATCCATGCCACCATTGCCTCTCACCTAACTACATGTAGGCTCCCCCTTTTGCTACATCCTGCCTTCCTCCACTGCAACTCTCAATATTGCATTGGAGCAATTCTGTTGAAATGCAAGTTAAATCATGCCACACCTCTTCTCAAACCCTACAGTAGCCTCCCATCTCATGTGGTTAATATGGCTACTTGATATCTCTTTGACCTTACTTCATACTTACAGTTCTTTCTTCCCTTGCTTACTCAAATCCAACCATGTTTGGGCTGATTCCACTTGCATAGAGGGAGTGAAAGTTCAGCTTAAATGAATCAATGCTGATTTATGTGAGGAGATAAATCAGTCTTCAACATAATTGAAGCTGTGCTGGATTTTATCTGAAGACGACTTATACCAGCAAGACTTATAGCAGTCATCTCAGAAACTTTCTCTCAGGGGCCACAAAGGTCTTTGACAATGAAAATTATGTTTCTTAATCTAAGGGTATGACAGAATAAATCCAGGAGGCTTGCATATATATCTTTCACTGATTTTTTTGTGTGAAACATTTTTATTAAGAAAGTAATTATATTTTCTGGAATATAGTTATAGCCACTGGAAGTTGATTAATTGAAATCTGGAATAGCTATAATCTTTGAATGTTAATTTTTGAATTTTTTGTTTAGGCCAACATTTTCAGTCACAACAGAATTCATCTTGAGATTCAATCAAACACAAAATTCCAAAGAGAAGAAAGAATTGTTGGAACTAGCTAGAAAAATCATTATCAGATGTAAGGTAATGGCACATCATTTGATTATTCAGCATGTTAACTTCATTTTCTAGTTGGTACCTGATTACATATTCTAAAATATTGTAAGAAAAAATAAGAATACATCTTTCTTTAATTATAAGTAGGGATAGGTAAAATATTAATGCAAATTAAACTTAAAGCTTATAACCAAATAATAAAAGCTTTCTGTAAATTTTGTGGGAATATAATTCTTGATACCCATCCAGGAGCCCATAGCTAAACGTTAAGTCTGGCAAATAAATTTTTGATTATGAAGATTCTATTTTTTTCTTTAAAAAGTTAATTGAGATATTCTGTGTCCTAAAGGGGAAAAAGGCCTTTCTAAACAATTATATACGTGAACAAAGTACTCTTTTCTTTCTTTGTCACAAACTATTCTTCACTTAACTTGTGAAAAATATGTTCTTTAAGAGTATAACATTAATCCCCAAATTTATAAATAGATATCAAAACAGAACAGGAAGTAAAGTAAGTCCTTGCTTTGCCTTGTCTACATTGGATTCAATTAAAGTTTTACAGAGAAGTAAAATGCATGTTTTGCTTTGATATGAATAATTCATTAAATAAAAGCTGCACAAAACTGGTGCATAAATTAAGCCACCTTTTTTTGTTGTTGTTATAGTGGTTATTTTCCAGTTCATGGCTGCCCATATTGAAAAACATTTGATTATTAAAAGACTATACTTTTGATAAGTGTGTTTGCAGACAGGTGCCAGGAAGTGCATTCATCAGTGAGCTTTTCTCCAATTGACCAAGTGGTCCCTGCAACAGTCCCAGGAGTGGGCACAATAAGGGAAGTGGAGTAATCCTGATCATCTTCCTTATGTTCATTAACTTCTGTACATCAACAATGAAGTAGCTATGATTTTCTAGCAAACTAACATCAAACCCACTTCTGTTTTATCACATTTCTTCAGTGCTTCGCCTTATAAAATTAAAAAATATGCATTCCCTTGGGGGGAAATAGGAAGTAATCACCAGAAAGTAAAAAATGATAATTATTTTCAGCAAATAGCTAATGATATTAGTCATAATATCAACATTTTCTACATATTAACACTAATACAGTTTGCATAAAATCTCTCAAAATCTGAGTAATAAAAGCAAAAATATAAAATTGCATACAACTCTGGCCACCAAACATTAGCTTCATAGAATGACTTTTGGAACACAATTAAGAGGTAAAAATAAAAAAATAAATAAAAATATGTACATTTTAATTTGTCTTTTTCATGCTTCCTCATAACAGAGAAAATTGGGTCTCAAAACCTTGGGCTCTGGGAAGCATGTGCATCTTCCTGCTGCATGGACTGAAGTAATATATCTGGCTCAATGCAAAGGGGAAATCCAAGATGGTATGTACTTTAAATTCCTATTAAGTATCCTAAGTATTTTCTAGAGTATCAGTTAAGGCAAAATTTGAGAACTTTAATTTTTAGAAATTGTACAGAAGACAAGTTTTCCACTCTCTATTGAAATACATTTTATTATGAAAATTCATTTTATAATATTGAATTTATGAATTTACTTAGCTTTCTGGTTACAAAATTGTTTTAAAAACTATTACTCAGCATAGCTTTTATTACTTTTTTGCCAAAATTAGCAACTAATTAAAAAGTAATATAAAATATCATTTAATGAATTCCAATTACAATAGGCACTAGACTTTAGAGAAATTTGTTTCTGCATTTTATAATTCTTCCTAATAAAACATTAATCAAATGACCATTTGTTTTCCACTTATTTTAAATAGCAAGCTTTACTCATTACCTTTTAATTTCTCACTCCTCATTTATGCCTCCTTTTAAACATCCTCTAACTGATCTAAAAAGAAAATTAAACATTATTTTTAAGGGAGTAAAATTCCTTGTACCACTACCATTAAGTTGTATATATATGCCTTTTAAAATACTTTTAGAATGTTAACCACATGAGGTCAGAGAGAATTTCCCCATGTAAATTAGGTTTGTGGTGCTGTCTAGGAGTTTTCAAGCAATAGGAAGAGTAAGAAGTATTTGTATTTAACTTGCCTTTATGGTCCTTCATCACAGTGTGCCATCCACAGCCTGACCTCTATTAAGAATTTAAATGATATTGAGGTAAACAGTCTTGGTTTACCAGCAAGAAGAGGCTGTTTGCTCTTCATTAACAATTAAGTTTCAGTTTTATTTAGACATCCTGCAGTCATGTGATTTAGGAGGACTGGCTCTTGCCCAATCTGAGGTGGGTGAACCATGGATGGTCTAAATCAGGGATCCCAAAACCCTGGACCACAAACTGGTACCAGTCTGTGACCTGTTAGGAAATGGGCTGTGAGTAACCAGGGAGTGAGCATTACTGCCTAAGCTCCACCTCCTGTCGGATCAGCAGTGGCACTGGATTCTCCTATATAGGAGTGTGAAGCCTCTGGTGAACTGTACATGTGAGGGATCTAGATTGCGTGATCCTTATGAGATAAAACCAGTCCCCGTTGCCAAAAAGGTTGGGGACTGCTGGTGTAAATCAATTATGGCAATTCCTTTTCACTTGCCAGTGATTTGATAGGGGTAGCCACATGACCTGGTCCTGAGCAAAGAGATATAAAGACAGCTCTATTTGCCGTACTTTTTGTTGACTTGCTTTTGAAAAAGACATGCCTGGGAAAAAAGCATTCCTTTCCTCCCTATACGCTTGTTTGTTCCTGTCTAGTTTGCTTGGTAAGAACATGATGCCTGGAGCTTGTGCAGTCATCACAGTCCTCATGCACATCAGGGGGAACTAGAAATGTGGATATAGAGGGCAGCTATATTAGCTGTCCCTGGAACATTTCCAATTCTAATCTTGTGAAATAGTAAACCTCCTTATCTTAAAGACATTTTTGTAGAGTTTTCTATTACATACAGCAAAAGCATTTTCACATATTGAACTCTAAATAATACTCAATATGACTTCTTTTTACTCTCTTCACAACTAAAATAACTGAATGGGTGTTTTACCTGTTTTCTTTTCTGCTCCTTATTCTATAGTCCACCCTCCACTCAAACAGCTTTGTTTACACTCAAATGAGCCTCAATTCCATATCATGGCCTACAAGGCTCTGCATGAACTGGCTCCTAAATACCCCTCTACTCGCTCATTATGTTCAGCTATACTGACCTCCTACCTGTCCCTTGAGGATGTCAGGGTTCTTTCCTCACGTCCTGTGCTTGCTGTTCGTTCTCATATATTTACATGGAAGCTCCTCAGAACTTTTGTAGTGACATGAGAAGCTTATTTCTCTAGGCTCTTATCTCTATATTCTTCTTCCTTCAGCTCCACAGGGCAGCCTTATTTCCTCTACCTTGATTCTCTAGTCTTCTGCTATTCCCTTTTTATCTTTAGCACTGCCTTTTGTCATCCAGTTCTGTCCTATTTCTTCACCATGATGTATGTGGCCTGGTGATTTATTTGGTGTTGGGCCTGTATAGTGTTGGATCTATAGTAGCTGAGCCCCCTTGCACATTTCTTCCTTCCTCTAGCCTCATGACCTTGGTGGCTTCTGTTTCAGTTGCTTCATGCCATGAAGTTGAACTTCCTACAGGGCAGCTTAGGGTTCCAAAGCTAGTATCTTGGCGGGGGAGGGGGGGAGAGTGAGAGAGAGAGAGAGAGAGAGAGAGGTCCAGGTGGAAGCAGTGCTGCCTTTTCTGATTTAGTCTTAGAAGTCACACAGGGTCATTTCTGCCTCATTCTATTGGTTGAAGCTGTCACAGGACCTACTCAAGTTTAAGAAGAGCATATGGATATCACCTCTTGATGAGAAAGGTGTCAAGAATTTGTAAACTGTAATTTCCTTTGCAAAGACAGGAAATAATTGCAAACATTAATTAAAGCATGTAGAAAAACAGGATGCTTTTTAAATGCTACAGTTTCTACTTTTTTAATATTTCAGAAGCTTTAAATATGCTTTATGCTTCCCTGGACCATGCTCCCTTTGATTATGATCATCTGCCTGCCCTATTTTTTGTTGCGGAATCAGTTTTATACAGACTCTGTTGTGATGCATCCCTCCAGACATATTTATATTCAGTTGAACTAAAGCTAGCAAAGGTATGTTTTGAAAAACTTCTTAATGTTTTTAAATATTACATATAGTACATGTAACAAAATGACATCTGTTTCAGGATCAAAACAGAACATTTAGTTTTATTATAGAATATTCTTTTGTTTGATAGTTTAATCTTCTCTAATTGTGAGTAGTACATTATTAGTGTTGAATATCCAAATGGAGATAGTTTGAGAAAATATAATTTCACAAACTACATAAGAAAATAACATTTCATTAAAAATCAATATACTTAACTGTTTTTCTAAGTATATATAGTTTTTCTTTTCTATTTCAAGGATATTTAAATGTCACCTCCTTTGCCATTTAAAAATGCTGACAAATAACCTTAAATAACTGCCCAATTTGGGAAGCTTAATTGTTTTTCTAATATTCTATGTCACTTTATACCTATAAAATGAGAAACTCTTTTCAAGTAACTCGTATTTTACAAGGTTTTTGAGATCATATGGTTTCATTCTCAGTGATGATTATGGCTGACTGCTGCAAAATACATTATTGGACAAATAAATTTAATTTAATAGTTTTACTGCAAAGAAAGAAAAGACAGGCTAACAGTATTTCTTTAGGATGGTTCTATATATATGTACATATATATATACACACACATATATGAATGAATGAAACAAATGAAATTGATTATGCAGAAATGTTTTTAAATTAAATTTTGGTTATTAACTGTTGGAAATCAAGCATGAGAGAACATTTTGGGGAGACAATCACATTTCAGTCATTATAAATCAAACCTAGATGTTCTCTGACACGTTTGGGAGTAAAAGACTTGTGGAGACCAGGCAAAAGCAGATACAGAGGACACATAGTAGAAATTGATCATGCAAAAAACTGAGCTTTGTAGAGAATAGTCAAGATATTACCAATAACTCTCTTGGGATGGTGAGATTATGATAATTTTTTTCTTTTTTTCTGTATTTCCAAAACTATCCACTAAAAATGTGTATTTATATTTATAATAAAAACAACATGTAAGTAAAAATAAAATATATAAAATATAAAAATTTAAATATACATATTTATAATGAAAAAAGAAATGTAATAAAAGTTTTGAAATGGAATAGAAAAACCCAGAGCAAGTCTAGGTTTTATTACCTTTCTTTCTCATCTCCTTTACTGACCTTTCTCCATTTCTTGTCTTCTGTACTTCTGTATATCTGCTAGCAAGAAAAATAGCTATAAAATATAGTTTTATCCATTGAGCATATTGCTTATACTTTGCACATGCCCTGTCATTTTATTGTTAAAAGATTTCTGTATTTTCTTATCTGCAAAGCCAGACAATTTGTACCAGTTCTTATAACAGCTGCAGACACTTACACATCACTTAACTATGTGTCTTACACAAAGGTAAATGCTTTAAATGTATTAGACACATTAACTTTTTTTGAGGATTATTCATGATTTCACATATTCCACATCTGTCACTGTAGCATAGAGAGTTTTTCTTTTTTTTTTTTTGGATTTCCTTGCATTGGGCTTTGCCTTTCTCTGGTGCCTAGCATAGAGAGTTTTAAGTGACTTCCCAAAAGTCTTAGCAGAGGGAGTTTTGAAATGCTTTGTGGCTCCAGAGTCCAGTGCACTCTCAGCTATGATGCTACACATCTACCTTGGTTCTCAGATTTACTAATTTTTACTTAATTTTTTAATTGATACATATGTAATATTTTAAATATTTATGACTAGTATGTATAATGATAAAGTTAGAATATTTAGAGTATACATCACCTTGAGTATTTATTGTTCCTATGTATTTGTCATTTCAACTCTTATCCTCTAGTTTACTTAGAAATATACAAAGCATTGTTGGTAAGTATAGTCACCCTATTCTGCTATCAAACATTGTATTTAATATTATATTTGTACCCATTAACCAACTTCTCTTCCCCTCCCACTCACCCACCCTTTTCAGTCTCCGATGTCTATAATATTATTCTATTCTCTTTGCCCATGAAATCAAATCTTTTAACTTCCACATATGAGTGAGAACATGTGGTATTTGTATGTCTGTGCCTAGCTTATTTCACTTAACATAATGACTCCCAGTTCCATCCATATTGCTGCAAATAACATTTCATTATTTTTATGACAATATTGTATTGTGCATATACATCACATTTTCTTTATCTAATCCACCCATTGATGGACACTTACATTAATTCCATGTCTTTAAACTTGTGAAGCGTGCTCCAGTAAACCTCAGAGTGAAGGTATTGCTACAATACACTGATTTGCTTTATCATCCTAAGAGATAAATGCCTACTAGTGAAATTGCTGGATAATATGGTAGTTGTATTTTTAGTTTATTAGGAAATCTAAACACTGTTTTCCATAGTGGCTGTACTAATTTACATTCCAGCCTATAGCATATGAGTCTTCTTTTCTCTGCATCCTTGCCAGCATTTTTTTTTCTTTTTAATAATAGCTATTCTAACTAGAGTGAAATAATTCTTCATTGTGGTTTTGACTTGCATTTTCCTTATGATTAGTGATTTGAACATTTTTCACCTATCTATTGGCCTTTTGTATGTCTTCTTTTAATAATATCTATTTATGTCTTTTGCCTATTTTTGATAATATTATTTGGTTTTGTGCTTTTTGTTTCATTGGATTTTTTTTTCTTTTTACTATTGAGTTGAGTTCCTTGTATATTAAATGTATTAGTCACTGTTTGAAAATATTTTCTTCAATTCTACAGGTTGTCTCTTCACTCTGTTTATTGTTTACTGTGAAGAGCTTTTTTGTTTAATATAGTCTCATTTGCTTATTTTTGTTTTTGTTGCCTGTGATTTTGAGGTCTTAGTCATATAATCTTTGCCCAAGATTTTTGTCCTGAAGGTGTCTTCCTATGTCTTCTAGCAGTTTTATAGTTTCAGGTCTTATGTTTATGACTTTAATTCATTTTGAGTTGAATTTTGAAATGGTGAGAGATTTGCAGTTTCATTCTTCTGCATATGGATATCTTATTTTCCAAGCATCATTTATGAGAAGGGTGCTTTTTACCCAATGTTTGGTTTTGGTGGCTTTGTTGAAGATTGGTTAGCTATAAATATGTGAAGTGAATTTATTTCTGGGTTCTCTATTCTGTTCCACTATTTGCTTTGTCTATTTTTATAACAATATCATGATTTTTTAGTTACCATAGTCTTATAATATGTTTTGAAGTCCAGTAGTGTGATGCCTCCAGCTTTGCTCTTTTTGCTCAGGATTACTTGGGTTATTTTGCCTCTTCTTTGGTTTCATAAAAATTTTAGAATTGTTTTTCTATTTCTGTAAAAAATGTCCTTGGTATTTTGATAGGAATTGCATTAAATCTGTATTTTGCTTCAAGCAGTCTTTTCAGCAATATTAATTCTTCTGATCCATGAGTATAGAATGTCTTTGTATTTGTTTACATATTCTTCAATTTCTTTTAACAGTGTTTTGTAGTTTTCTTTGTAGAAACCTGTCACCGTCTTTGTTAAATTTATTCCTAGAGTTTTTTTCTATTATAAATGCAATAAATGAGATTGCCTTCTTGATTTCTTTTTCTTCTATTTTATTATTGGTGTATAGAAATGCTATTAATTTTTTTATGTTGATTTTGTATCTTGTAACTTTACTGAATTTATCAGTTCTAAAGTCTTTTGCTGGAATCTTTTTTTTTTTCTAAATATAAAATCATATTATCTGCAAAGAGAGACAATTTCACTTCTTCTTTTCTTTTCTTTCTTTCTTTCTTTCTTT